CTCTGGGCCTGGGGCCGTCGAGCCGAGACTGAAGAGAGCGCGAGAGAGAGAGAGAGAGAGAGAGAGAGAGAGAGAGAGAGAGAGAGAGAGAGAGAGAGAGAGAATGAGAGACAGGGGGGGGGGGAGAGAGAGGAGAGAGAAAGAGAGAAAGAGAAAGAGAGAGAGAGAGAGAGAGAGAGAGAGACGCAGAGAGAGAGAGAGAGAGAGACATATATATATATATATGTATATATATATAGCGAGAGAGAGAGAGAGAGAGAGAGAGAGAAATCATAAAGAGAGAGATAGAGAGAGAGAGAGAGAGAGAGAGAGACCGATAACACACGCGCACGCATTGCGGTCGCGCGGGCGAGAGAGAAGGCGGCGACGCGCGAGCGAGAGAGAGAGAGAGAGAGGACGAGAGAGATAGAAGAGAGAGAGAGAGAGACAAAACAAGAGAAAGAGAAAGAGAGAGAGATAGAGAAAGAGAAAGAGAAAGAGAAAGAGAAAGAGAGAGAGAGAGAGAGAGAGAGAGAGAGAGAAAGAGAAAGAGAGAGAGAGAGACGGAGCGAGAGAGAGAGAGAGAGAGACACAGAGAGAGAGAGAGGGAAGTAAAGAACATGAGGGATATAGAGAGAGAGAGAGAACAACAAATAAATATAGAGAACTATATAAAGAGAGAGCGGGGGAGGGGGGGCGAGGGGGAGGATGCGACGACGGGGTTCGAGTAGACGCTTCCTTGGTGTTCGTTGCAGCAGACAGTGCGATCAGCCGTCTGTCCAGCGCCGCCTCTTCTATGTCCCGCCGCTCTGTGGGTGCTGGGCTGGCGCGTGGGTGCACTTCTTTGCTTCGGGCGTGGTGGGCGACTATTAGGCTGCGAACCCCGCGCTAAGGCAGTTTGACCTCGTGCTCTCTAGTTTTTGGTTTGCGTGGCGACGATCACAAATCTGACCGACAAGCACTTGCCGCGGCACGGGGACTGGAAGGGGCTCGAAGCCAGGGGCTGTTCGAACCAGGGATGCGTGATCCATCTGTGCCCCCGAGTGTTAGTCTAACATTTCGAGTAACTTGCATGGGTTACTGGACGCGCGTTGAGAATTTTTCGTGTCATTATCCATGTTGGTTTGCAGTTTGGTGTGGTCGCGTGATCGGCTTTTTAGTTGGATCTTCAATGTGCCCGTGGTTTGGGCCGAAACGTGTTCGATTCGAAACCGGGCGTAACGCTGCCATTGAAATTTCAGATTCTTCGCTTAACGCCACCACCCTCCGTGGCCCCTTGGCTCAAGCCGTCTCCCAGGGGCGTTCCTCCCCTTGGGGCCAGGGCTCGATAGGGGGCGCCCGTGCGCGGCGCGGGCGGGCCGCGCCGCGCGGGCGCCGTCGGCGCCAGAGGAGCCGGCTGCCCTCCCTCTTTGACTTCGCCTCGGCCGCAGGGGGCCCGGGGATGGAGGGCGAGACCGACGGGCTCTGCCATGGGACCCTCGGGGCCGATGTTGGGGACGAATGTGAAGGGTTCGTGCGAGGCCTGGGGGCCCTCGCGCTGCCCGCTGACATTCGTGACCTTGGGGCCCTCGGGAACGCGCGCGATCGCTCGGGCACGAGCGCGGGGGGCGGGCCCGTCTGGGCCACGAGCGCCCCTCGCGCGGGGGATCGTGCTTCGGATCGCGTTGACAGGATGGGGGGGCTGTGAACGCGCCGACGCAGATCGCTGGCTTCGCGTCGGGAGGCGGTGACCCCCATATCTTTTCCAAAGTGCGTGCCAGCGGCGATCATCTGCCAACCTCGGGGAGAACGCGCGCCAGATGCAGGTGCGATGTCCAGTCGCGCGCCCAGCCGCGAGTGCCCTAATTCCCCCGGCTTTGCGAGCGCCATGCGCATGCCTGGGGGGGGGGGGGGGCCGGGGGGCGCTTCGCCTCCTCGGCGTGCTCGCGACGATCAGTCGCCAACCCAGAGAAGAAGACGACGCGAACAGTGCGCCCCCTCCGTCCTGTTGCGCCCCCGGGGAGCCACTTGGCGATATAGCCCCACCCGTCCCATCTGACCCCGCCCAGGCCTGGGGGGCACCCGGCATTGCCGAGAAGGAGCGCAACGGCAAGCTCAACGGCGCACCTCCGGATGGCCGCGGCCCCTGGAATCCCGCGCGCAACGTCGCGGGAGCTGGTGGCTGCGCCGCGCTTCAAGGTGCGCCGCGAGGCAGAGCCATGAGGGGGGCCTCCCAGAGACGCACCCCTGAGCTACGGACGCCCTCAGCAGCCGAGCAGGCACGCGCCGCCGCCTCGCTTGCGGGCGGTCTCAGTGACGACGAAGATGGCTTGAGATTGGGATCGGCTGCTGGGCCGCGGGACTTGCGCCGGGGCCCCCCCCCTTCGAGCCGAGCCCGCGAGGGGGCGCGCGGACTCGGGGAGATAGTTGCCTTGTCCAAGGGCGGCGGAGTGACGCTGGATCGGCCCGCCCCGGTCCGCGCAGATCTGCGTCACGACGGAATCATGATCGCAGCGACCTTCCGGTCCACCACCCGCCACCCCCTGTGGAGAGTCGCGAGGTCCCTCGTCCACTTGTGCTTGCGGCGATCAGTCGCTCGCCCTGGGGGGGCCAGGGGGCCCTGCGAATCAGGGCAATGTGCTTGCGGCAATCAGTCGCGCATCCAGGGTGGAAGATGGCGACGACCTTCCGGTCCACCCGCAACCCCTTGCGGAGAGTCCCGAAGCCCCTCTTGGACTTGTGCTCGGCGATCAGTCGCTCGCCCAGGGAAGAATCAAGGAGCGCTCCGAATCGCGACAATGTGCCTGCGGCGATCAGTCTGGCACCCAGGGTTGAAGATGAGGGGGCGAAGCCCCCTCCCTCTTGCGCGACGCGCCAGGGGAAGCACCGGGAAACGGCAGTACTCCCACCGCCCTTTTTGACCATCTACAGGCCTGGCAAGAACCCGAAGGCGTTGTTGTGCGCGGCAGCCATGCCGAGGGCCAAGCCTCAACGACCGACTCGGATGCCTGCGCTCCCCCCGCGCCGACCCCCCGCGACGACGCCCGCCCCCACCCCCCCCCCCCGCTATGAACGCTACTTCCTTGGACCAAGGAGGGGCGCGGGGCGCGCGGCGCGGCGTTGCCCCCCCGGGCGACGCCCGAAGGCGCCCCGCTGAGCAGGAGGCGCCCGTTGCAGGCGACCAAGGACGGGCGGCCGCTGCGCCCGTTGACGAGCACGGCTGCGACGACGACACGGGGCGGGAAATAGGCGGGGGCCGGCGCCGGCCGCCAGACGGACTTTCCCCGCGCGCCCCTACTCCCGCGATCACAGCCGGGCGCCAGAGGACCGCCCGTTCTGCCTCCGACCCGAGGGGGCGACAGAGCGCGAGCGGGTCGGCCCGCCCGCGATCAGCCAGATCGGTCTCGAGCTCGGGTCGGGATCGGGGTTCCCTCGCGGCTCGCCCGCGCCCCCTTGCTCTAACCCCCTCTACCTTGTCGCTCGGTTCAATGCGATGCGCGGCGGCCTGCTCGGCGGCGCGCCGCCAGCTGCCCGCTCCCGCGCCCCCGTCGGCCCAAGATGCGGCCCGACCAGCGCGCGCTGCCGCGGGCCGGTGGGCGGCTCCGCGATCGAGGGCCCGATGGAGTGGGCGCCGGCGCCGCGCGGGCTCTGGACGAACGCCGCTGGAGGACAGCCTCGCTCCCACGAGGCAACCTTGCGGCTCCAGCTCATGATGCGCCTTGCGTGGAAGCGGCGCCCAGAAGGCCGCCCCCGGCCCTCGACAGGTTGGTTCCCCCATGACGCCCCGCCCTCCAACGCCGCGCCCGCCTCGGCAAGCCGACCCCGCCGCGCCGTGCACCAGCGCCCAGGTGCTCATGGACCTCGCGGGGCTCGCATGGTCGGCAACTGAGGAGGACAGCGAGGGCCAACAGGGTGGGACAATACCGCACTCGGCTCAGCTACTTGCCATGAGAGTTGCCGAGCTGGTAGACATGTTCGACGCCGACCAAACCACCCCGCTTGACTGTGAACCCCCCGGCTCAGGGGAGGAAACCGGGGTCGACGGAGGATTCCACTTCGTGCGGGAAGCGCCCCTCTGCTGCGACATGGGCGGTCAACGCGGGAACGACCCGACAGGCCGCTCCTCGAGCGCTGGGGGCCCTCAAGGCCCTCTTCTCGCTCCAGCTTGCCCAGGTGCGTATCGCGGCTCCTTCCTGCGATCGCGCAGAATACGGACCTCCTGATTCGCGAGCGGAGGCAATTAGTCATTCACTGGCCCAGTCATGAGGACCTGCTGCACTGGGCAAAGCACTACCGGATCTTCGACGGCCCTCTCGACGCCGTCAATGCCTGTGCCATGAATCGCCACTGGCAGGAACAGTAAAACAATCCAGACTGATGACGCCGGAAGGTTCCGTCCCGGCCATAGGGATCGTCCCAGTACGGTTGGACGGTCAGGTCGACCCAGACGATGCCTGGCCATGGGACGACGTTGCGGTATATCCCGACATGGGACGCTGGTTCAAACCAAACGACAGATGCGGCTTCTGTGGTTCATGGTTCCTTCGTGGGCCATGGGCAGGGCGATGCCCAGTATGCGTCCGCTTAGCACCCCGTGGCGGACCGACGGACGTCCCCACGAATGCCAGGCTGCGCTCCCCGTTGACCTCCTGGGAAACCTTTGGTTTGGGAGCGAGGTGCAGGAGAACAGGTAGAGCAAAACGAACAATACATCGAAAACAAACAGAAACAAACAACGTTAGGTCCAGTCCTGGGTTATCCCAAGGTGGACGCTCTCGCTCCGCGCGCTTCCTTTTGCCAGGGGCCGCCTGGAGCGATTTTCCTTCCAGCCCCACCTCTGCCCCCACCCCATCTTGGCGTGCCCCCCTCCGACTGCTTCGAGGTGGTTCCGGCCGTGGCGACGAGAAGCTTCCAGAAGGCCCCAGCGGGACGGACGGCCGTCGGGGAGAACCGCCGCCGGCTCGCTGGGCCCTCCTCCGCGGCACCTTCGAACACGCCTCGTGCTCGCCGGGCGTGCGCTCGCCGCGCCGCGCCGCGGCAGGATGCGGCCGGCGGCTGCCGCGGTGACCGCCGCCGCGGCGGCCGGGTGTCTGGCGCTGGCGGCCTCCGCGGTGCTGCTGGCGCGCGCGCGCCTGCTGCGCAGGAGCCCGCGGTTCGTCCCGGGGGGGAGGTGGGATTTTCGAGATCGAGGCTGGAGGGGTTCGGGCGTGTTCGTCGGTGCGGAGACCCGAGCTAGGACCCCCAGACCAGCGTGAGGATGATGATTTGAGTAGGGCCGAGGGTCAGAGAGCGCCTTCCTCTGCAGGACCACCAAGCATGTGCCGTCAAGGTGGTCAAACGCTTCGCCGGTTAAGCCGACGAAGATGTGCAACGCCCAACCCGTCGTTTGTGTCCAACGTTTCGGCTCGACGCCGGGTGTGCTGCATCAGTTTCGACTTGCCCGAACATGTTGGCTGCGCCCCCTGACGTCCGTGTGGGTTGTCCTGCAGACCTCAACCCCCAGACAGCCCCAATGATCATTGAGGGGCAGGCGCGGGGCGATTGGCGGACAAACGGCTGCGGTCCGCACGGTTCCGAGGGCCTGGTGGAAGGTTTCTCCGAAGGGCTCAGGCGACCCGTCCTCCTCCTCTCTCCTCCTCCTCCTCCTCCTCCTCCTCCTCCTCCTCCTCCTCCTCCTCCTCCTCCTCCTCCTCCTCCTCGGGTCGCCTACGGCCCCGGGGGAAACCGTGCAGGGCCTGGACGTGTGCACCACGTGGTCTGGTCGGCCACGGAAGCACGCGCGTTGGCGCGGGGATTCGGTGCACGGACGCTCCAGCACTACGTCGGGCATGTCTTCTCTGCAGGGAAAAGTCAAAAGTGGTCAAGCCATAGTTTGGAGATATTTTTGTTTTTGCTATGCTGAGTAGTTGTTGGTTTTTTTTCATGTTCCTTCCAGAATCCACCTGTAGGAGGACGTGCCCGACCTAACTCCAGCATCGCATACTGTCAACCTGGATAGTAGGGATGATCGACTTCCCAAGGGTACCCCTGCATCCTTGCCTCTCTGGTCATCTGCGGTCCATCCTCGACCACTTTCGATGGCCAGCCCCGCTCGAAGAGCCTCGGCATAGGCGTCCTGGGCCCTTGCATCATCAGCGCGCGGCTATGCGGGTTGACTGTAGCTTGGGAAGCTGGGCGTCTACACACCTCAGAAGGTGACAAAAACACACACAGACACAATAAATCGTCGACTCCCAAGAAAATATGGGGGGAAATTATGGGGGAGAAGACGAAAACACAGAAGAAATGGGAAAAGATGGCGAATCCTGGGATTTGTGTGTGCTTCTTTGTGTGTCCCCGGGCCCCTCTATATGCACCAGGCTCCTAGGCCGACTGGACGGCGTAGTGTATGTGCCTTCGGGGGTGGACAGAACTCCCACCCGGGCACGATCATTAGTGAGTTGTCCGTTGTCGGTTCTCGAGAGGGCGCCGCGGCCGTCATTTCCTATGCTGGCGCCCGCCAGGTTTAGCCCCGAGGTCGTGTTCACTAAACAACGTTTTACTCAAGGGGGGTCTGTCCATCCCCGATACCTCGAGCCGCTCCAGGCGGCCCAGGCCCTCCGGTCGCCTGCCCGATCGCCTGGGGTTCTCCGGGGGCGTGGGGTGGTGGGGGGGGAGCCTTGGGTCCTGGAGGGCGGCAGGTGGTCGCCGGCATGCCCGTGCAATCTTTCCCATTCGCCTTACGTCGGGCATGGTCAAAACATACTCTGGGCGTATGATGTTCCAACTTACTTTAGCCTGAATCGCAAAACATAATTTGTAGGCACCAAGAAAGTACCGAAACTGGGGTGTTTTCACGCGTCGGGCCCTGGGAGGCAATACTCGCTGGACACTGTTTCGATACTTTTCTGGGTGCTCGGAATTATTCCTGGGAATTGGCCCGTAATTGCGATGGGAACATTACTCTGTGTTTCTCATAAAACGTGGGGGGTACACGCCCGACGGGGCTCAGCCTCGCATCGTCGTCGCGCCCCGACGGGGGTCGGGGCGCCTTCGGCGCGCGGTGGCTGCCCGCGACGGGGGTCGACGTGGGGCTGTCGGCGGGGGTGACGCCCCCCCAGACGCCTATCAAGAAACTCGGGGTAGGCAAATCATAGTCTGAGGACGAGTTGTCGATTATTTTGGAGCCCCGCTGGACTAGTTTTCTCTTTCCTCCACAATCCGCCCGCAGGGGGACATGCCTCGACCTGACATTAGTCTGCGGGGCCTCGGGTTCGGAGGCTGCAGCGCGATGTGTGCAGAGGCCGGCTCCTCCAGAGCGGCGGGCGAGCGCAGGAGTCCCCCCTCTATCCGTGCCGCAGTGGCAGTCCTGGCCCGCGTTTGCAGGCCGGCGAGCCGGCTGGTGCAGGTCCGTCGGAGTGGCAACGCCCGAGAGAATGCCGTTGCACTGTGACAGCAGAGAGGACGGATGTGCCGAGGAATTGTCCGGAACTGTTCAGAAGCAGGGTATTTCGTGCTCCAGTAGTCACTGAAGACCGCGGGACGCCAGTCACGAGGTTTCGGAGACGAGCGTTGGTGCAGAGTGTACTGTGATCGGTTGGGGAATTTGCGGGCGTCCTTCCATGTACATGTCGGTCCCAAATGCGGAAAGAATTCGCTCCCGTTCTCCTACCAGGATGTTGCTCCCACTTGATAAATCAGACTGCTCCGTGGTTCCGAAAAATGTAGCCTTGGTGCGGCATGTTGTATGCATTCCAGATCGTACGCAATCAGTCAAAGGAAACTCGTTCTGGGTCAAAGGCTTTTCTTTGGAGCATAGCTCAGCGCAAATTCGTGTGAACTCTGTGGAAGGGGCACCTGTGCCTGCAAGGCACTTCTCGCTCTGACAGACTCGAACCCGTGACAGCACATGTGCACACAGATTCGTGCCGCAGCCCCTGTTTATCTGTGCGGGCAGATGACAGGCGGCAGTGCCTGCGGGCTGTCTCCCGATACCAGCACCAGCTCGAGCTCAGCCTGGTCAGTGCGGACCGAAAGAAGGACCACGACTCGCATCGGGCCACCTGCACCCAGCCGTCGCTCCCCCCCTCCCCCTCTTTTTCCTCCTTGCAGCCCCTCCCTCTGCCGCTCCTCCGGCTCTTGCTGCTGCTGCTCCCCGCCTCCAGCGCCTCCTGCTGCTGCTGCTGCTTCCCCCCCTCGTTGACGGGGGTAGCGCAGAGGGCCGCCGCAAGTTTCTGGACCGCCCCGCCCCCCCCCCCGGCCACGCGCAGAGGGGGAGTTAGGGGGAGGGGGGAAGGCTTCTCAGCAGCACCCCTGCTTCTTAGCTTCTTAGAGGACGCGGGCCTTGTCTGTGGATGGAAGGCCCGCGCCTTCGAAGGAGCAGCCCCGGACGCCAACACTGATACGGGATCCGTGGATCTGGCGCGTGGGCGCCAAATCCACGCATCGTGTAAGTCGGGCCGAGCGAAAGGGGGGGATAGGGAAAGGGGAGGTTACGAAATCTACTGCGTGCAGCTGGTTTCGGCCCCGCCGCCGGGCCCATTCCTCGATACACCGGCGCCTCCTGGCGCCGGGAGGCGCTGGGAAATCAGCCACGTGAGCTGGTTCTCTACCCTTGGCATCGCTCGGACGTGTGCACGTTTTCCCCGGTGGGGGACCATCGAGGAGCATCCTTGATCATTTTGCGAAGAAACCACGCACGAAACCGAAAAAAGCACGGGGAATGGACGTCCGATCGATGGCGAGTGCCTGCCTCCAGGGCGCCCTGGGTTTCCTGGGTTTCGATGGTTTTGCCATGGAGAGCGTGACGTTCCCACACCAGAACTTCCATAGGCCTCCCTGGGGTCTCGGGGTTGGGTCTCCTGTGGAGGGTTTCTGGTGGCTGGGCCCTCCTGTAATCCGTGCGTCGCTAATCCATGTTTGCGCTTCCTCGATCTTCGTGGCCTTCCCCCCGTTCCCCTGCCACCCTCTAGGCCTCCTAGATGGGGTCGGAGCAGATGGGGTCGGAGGATCGTGCCGCATCGCCGATGCATCGGCGATGCGGCTCGACGTGGGGCCCGATTTTCTCCACGCCGACGTCGCCGATGCATCGCCGACGCCGCCAGCGCATGGGCGATGCCTCGCCGATGCATCGGCGATGCATCGCCGATGTATCGGCGATGCGGCGCGATCCTCCGACCCCATCTGCTCGGACCCCATCTAGGAGGCCTCTACACCCCCACCCCCTGGCGCGCGCGGCGGAATCACCGAGCGCGTTCCGCTGCTTGCAAAGTGCCTACTCGCAGGCGCCCGAACAAAAAACTCGTCCTCCGCGAGGTAACTGATCGCAGAGCCCCCACGGCGGAGCCAGGCCATCTCTTGGTATCGCTCGGACGCGTGCACTTTTTCTCGGCGGGGGCTATCGAGGAGCATCCTGGATCCTCCTGCGACAAAAACCGCGCACGAAACCAGAAAAAAACGCACAGGGAATGGACGTCACGTCCGAGCGACGGGGAGATTTGCGAGGAGGAGGCGGAGGAGGAGGAGGAGGAGGAGGAGGAGGAGGAGGGAGGAGGAGGAGGAGAGGAGGAGGAGTAGGAGGAGGAGAGAGGAGGAGGAGAGGGGGGGATGATGATGATGATGATGAGATGATGATGATGATGATGATGATGATGAGAGGAGGAGGAGGAGAGGAGGAGGGAGGAGAGGAGGAGGAGGAGGACGAGGAGGAGGAGGAGCAGAGGAGGAGCAGAAGGAGGAGGAGCAAAAACACGGATCCAGGCCATTTGCGAGCAGTTCCTCCTGCGATCAGTGGGAGCGCGCTCGTCCCCGGCGGGGGGCCCCGTGTGGGCCCCGCGGGGGGGCGGGCGCCCCCCGCGCGCGGCAAGGCGCCCCGCCGCGCTGCTCGGCCTGCTGGAGGGGCAGAGGACCCACCGCCGCGAGGAGCTGCAGGCCCCCCCCCCCCCCCCGTTTGGGGGGGCGGCGGTGGAGGAGGAGGAGGGGGGGGAGGAGGGGGAGGAGAAAGAGGAGGAGGAGGAGGAGGAGGTGGAGGAGAAAGAGGAGGTGGAGGAGGAATAGGAGGAGGAAGAGGAGGAGGAGGAGGAGGAGGAGGAGGAGGAGGCCCCTTGCGTCCTTACCGCGCGCCCTCACTGCACAGGCTCACCGCATAGGGCCCCCGAGCGGCCGCGGAGGCAAGCGCGCGCCGCGCGGCACCGCGCGGCGCCGCAGTCCGGGCACGAGCGGCCGCCGCTAGTCTCTCTGGGGCACACGAATAAATACACACAAAGAACCAGATGCCCTACATTTTCCCCTATATTCTGGGTGTTTATGTCTCCCCCCCACTTCCCATTGTTTTTCCATATTTTCGGGGGAGTCGACGATTCATTGTGGCTGTTTTTTCCCTCCTGAGAAGCGACGGCCGAAGCAGAGAAGACGCCTTGCATCCCAAGCTTGAATCTCCTCGTCGACTCTGCCAACAAACAGATACGTAGCATGTTTCATTCGAAGACGAGCAAACGCCATAAACATAAACTGTTTAGCGCTCCGCGCGGATTTCTTGGATCCGCGCTGGCACCCCCCCTCCCTGGCGCGCGGAGCGAGCCAGGGGCGGCGCTGGAGGCGCGGGGGGGGGGGCTGCGGTGCAGGGGCATGCGATACAGTGGAGGCCCATGCCTTGAAACAACCTTCTTGCCCTCAGGGTGCCCTGGGTTTCTTGGGTTTCGATGGTTTCGCGATGGAGAGCGTGGCGTTCCCACGCCAGAAATCCATGCACGTCCTGGGGTCTCGGGGCTGGGTTTCTTGTGGAAGGTGTCTTGTGGACTGGACTCCACTGCAGTGGAAGAAGAAGAAGAAGAAGAAGAAGAAGAAAAAGGAACGCCATGAACAGAAACTGTTTGGCGCTCCGCGCGGATTTCGTGTATCCGCGCTGGATCCCCCGCCGGCGGCGCCTCCGGCGCCGCCCCTGGCGCGCTCTGCGCGCCAGGGAGGGGGGCCCAGCGCAGGTCCAAGAAATCCGCTCGGAGCTTCACCAGTTTTTTTTTTTTTTTTTTTTTTTTTTTTTTTTTTTTTTTTTTTTTTTTATTATTATTATTATTATATTATATATATATATATAATATATATATAATTTATATATTATTATTATTATTAGTATTATTTGTTTTTTGTTTATTATTGTTATTAGTATTACTATTATTTTTATTATTAATAGTATTATTATTGTTATTATTATTGTTATTAGTAATATTATTATTATTACTATTATTATTATTATTCTTATTATTATTATTATCATTACTATTTTATTATTACTATTACGATTATTATTATTATTATTATTATTATTATTTATATATATATAAGTAAATAAAAATACAAAACATGTATATACAACAAACAAAAACCAATCTTCTTCTAGACAGGGTCGGAGTAGCTGGGGCCCCAGACCCCCTCGAGCCAGCAGAGGACCACGAAGGAGTTCTCCCGCGGCGTCTGGCCTCCTGGGGCCCCTTGCCAGGGCCTCGGGACCGTCAAGAGGCGGAGCGGCGATCGCCTGCCGCGCCGGGCCTTCGACGGGGGAGCCAAAGGGCTGGAGGAGGAGCGCCTGCCGCTGCCGCTGCCCCTCCCTCGTCGCCACGGCGTCTTCGCCCCGAAGCCTTGGGCATCACGGTGTCCCGGGAGAGGCCCTGGAGCATGGCGGCCCTCCCCCCGAAGGGGGGGGGCCTGGTCCTGCTTGCTCGGGAGCCTCGGGACGGGGGTCAATGCAGACGGGGGTCAGCGAGAGCGCCGGACCTTGCAGGATCCCGCAGGGCCGGGGTCGCACTGACCCGGGTTTGGGTGCAGGACCCTGCAGGATCTTGCGGGATCCTTCGCATTGGCCCGGGTTTGGGTGCAGGATCCTGCAGGATCCTGCAAGGCCTGACTGACCCGGGTCTGGATTGACCCGGGTCAGAAGATCCCCGAAGTGCGCACTCCTAGCGCATGTTGCTTGTGGCCCCATGGTGCTCGTGGGTCGTCGCCAGTAGACTCTACGGAGGGGGCACCGGGACTGCTGTTCCGAGTTGGTCTGGGCCAAGAGGGACGTGTTCGTCTTGCGCCGCATGCGATTGGAGATCGGTCAATCCTGCCACACGCGGCCTGGCGGGGGCCGGGCGGTGGCCCAGCCTTTATTCGGTGGCGGCAAAGAGGGGGGTGATGAGTAGGGGGGGGGGCGGATATCATGGCGGGGGCCATGATATTTCCCCAGGTTTCATGGCGCCTCTTCTTATTTCAACAGTCAGGAGGAACCGCTTTCCCTGGATGCCCCCCTCTGCATTCAGAGCTGCCGTTGGCCCGCAGACCCCGAGGGAGGATCGACCCGCAGTACTTGGTGAGAGCCTTCGTGCACGCGGAGGCCGAGCTCCCAGAAGCCGCGCGACTGCACGAGGCGCTGCCGACGTGCCTTCAGAGACTCGAGTAGTTAGGGGATCGACTACACAATTGATTTGCCCCAAGCTTGATCTCCTCGCCGAATCTACCAACAACAATATTCCGACGAAAGAAAAACCATCCTGGGGCAAATCGGTCCTGTGGTCCATCCCCTCCTCGAGAGCCTGCGCTCCGGGGCCCGTCCCCTGCGTGAGCAGAGCCGGCGGAAGGGTCTTGGCACCGCTCGGACGTGTGCACTTTTTCTCGGCGAGGACCCCGGAGGAGCATCGAGCGACAAAAGACACGCGAGGACCATGGGGCGTGTGCATTTTTCCTCGGCGAGGACCATCGAGCGGCAAACACACGCACGAAACCGAAACGTGCACGGGAAATGCACGTCCGAGAGCCCGCGGAGGGGTTGCTCGCCAGCTGCCGGGACCCGCCCCCCAAGAGTGCGTGCTCCTCTCCTCCGGGCCGGCGGGAGGCCGGCGCACGCACGCGGGCGCGCCGGCCTCCCGTCGGCGCCACCCCAGCACAACACAGTCAAAAGCCCTAAGAAGGACGCGCGATGTTGCTCAGGGTACCCTCGCGTCCTTGCTCTTCCGCGCTCTTGCGTCCTTGAGGGTTTCGCCGTCCGCCGCCCCAAAAATCCCAGCTTCGGCTTCCAAGGGTCTTGCGTCCTTACCGCGCGTCCTTATTAGGGTTTTTGACTGCACTCGAAGAATATTTTTTTCCCTACCTAGGCTCTGCCTAGAAGGGTTCTTACTCTCTTAGCTTAAAGGGGCCGGGCAGTGTAAAGCGCCCCGGGCGGTTCCCCCAGTCCCCTGGGAGCGGTTCCCCCCAGTCCCCTGGGAGCTTTAGCTTTAGCTTTAGCTTAGCTTTAGCTTAGCTGTAGCTTAGCTTTAGCTTAGCGTTTCGCTTAGCTTTTCGCTTAGCGTTTAGCTTAGCTTTAGCTTAGCTTTAGCTTAGCTTTAGCTTAGCTTGAGCTTAGCTGTAGCTTAGCTGTGGCTTAGCTTTAGCTTTAGCTTAGCTTTAGCTTAGCTTTAGCTTAGCTTTAGCTTAGCTTTAGCTTAGCTTAGCTTAGCTTAGCTTAGCTGTAGCTTAGCTGTAGCTTTAGCTTAGCTTTTGCTCAGCTTTAGCTTAGCTTTAACTTAGCTTTAGCTTAGCTTTAGCTTAGCTTTAGCTTAGCTTTAGCTTAGCTTTAGCTTAGCTTTAGCTTAGCTTTAGCTTAGCTGTGGCTTAGCTGTGGCTTAGCTTTAGCTTAGCTTTAGCTTAGCTTTAGCTTAGCGTTACTGTTACCACTAATGCTGCTTTCCTAGGGGTTCCAACTCCTAGGTAGGGTCGCACTGGGATAATTGGCGCTCCGCGCCGATTTCTTGCATCCGCGCTGGGGCCCCCCCTGGCGCCGCCTCCGGCGCCGCCCCTGGCGCGCTCCGCGCGCCAGGAAGGGGGGTCCAGCGCAGATCCGAGAATTCCGCGCGGAGCGCCAACAGTTTATGTTTGTGCCGTTTTTTCTTGTTCTGAGTACTGAATGTGCGTCTCCCCCCCCCCCCAGGGGCGACCCGCGCACCGAGAAATTTCATAGCATATGCGTCGTGACGGGCGCTTTCTGGCCACACCACTCGGGAAACGATCTATTGCAAGATGGGTATATGTTCGGGTCGGACGCGCGCCTCGAAGGAGGACATGTGTAGACTATATGGTCGGGTCGGAGGCGCTCACGCGCACGGCCGCGGCGGCCTCCCGTCGAGCAGTGGCGAAGAGTCCTGGCCGCCTACAGGCCCACCGAAGAATGTTCTAACATCCTTGTGTCTGCACGTAAGGTTTTAGAACGCTTCTGGCGAAGAGCGCATTGTTTTCACACAGCGCGTTTATGTTATGAGAGCCTTGTCTTTGTTCCCAGAACATGGTTTGGGTCCCACGAGCCTTTCGTGGTAGGCCTATGCTCGATCCCGAGGCTCTGCTCGCGCTCCTGGGCGAGGACGGCGACAGCACGCTGTCCCTGAAGCAGAAGCTGCTGGCTCGGCCCCCCGCTCGCTCCAGGCCATCCCAGATTGGGGTCGGAGCAGGGTGGGGTCGGAGGACCGCGCCGCATCGACGATGCGGCTCGATGCGGAGCCCGACTTTCTCTACGCCGACGTCGCCGATGCGTCGCCGACGTCGTCGATGCATCGACGATGCATTGGCGATGCATTGTCGATGAGGCCCGATCCTCTGACCCCATCTACTGCGATCCCATCTGGGAGTCCTCTGCTCGCGGGGGGGGCTCCACCTGTACCTCGGCACCGATGTCCGAGGAGTAAAACAACTGATTGCCGATACCGCTGCTTTTCCTGGAGAGCCCCCGTCGCCACGGCTTGGTGATTCTCCTTCGAGTTCTGGTCGGGGCGCACCCTGTGAGACCTCCGGGGGGTAGCGGTATCGGTCTCTCCTCGCTCTCCCACGAGGGTGCCAAGGCCCATTTTGGGCCCAAGGTTGGCGTGCACGCCCTTCTGTCCCAGCCCTTTGGGGTGTGTACGCCGATCGGCGCCCAGGGTGGCCCTGGCCAGAAGTGGTGTCGGCGTATAGTTGGTGTTGATGCTGCTGCGACCTTCTCCTCACTAGAGCATCCCCGCGTGATCCTCCGCTCCCGCGCCCTCCGCCGTCCCCCTGCATCCTCCTCTCTCCCTGCCACGCCTCGGATCGCAGCAGGGTCTGCCAGGCTGCGTGGTGCTACCCAAGCATTAGCGACATGCGCAACGCGTTCAAACTTGTTCTGAAGCTCCGCCGATAGTTTCGAGATCGTATATCAGATTTCCAGGCTCAAGCAATCAGAGTTTGGTAGATGTCTAGAGTCTTGCCTTCTGCAGTTTCTGGCGCACCTGCGTACAACTCGAAGCTGGATGCAGCTTGTAGGCTCGACACGGCAACTACGCAAAGGCGTCCCATACCAAGTTTGAAGCTCTGGTTTTCTGCGAAACCGTCCCGACTTCGGTTTGTGGATCAGATGGGATGTGGTGGGCCTTGATAGCGGCCCTCTGTTCGGGGGTGGACAGACCTCCTACCATGACACGTCGATTAGCGAATTGGCCGTTTTCGGTTCGCGAGGGGGCGTCGCGGCCGTCATTTTTGCAGGTCCAGGTCCGTCGGTTTCGGTCCCAGGCCGTTTTCACCAAGGGGAGGTTTCCTAAAGGGAGGTTTGCCCACAGCCGATCTGTGTCTCGTTCCCAAAAACCGCTCGCACTCATGGGGTTCTTGCTTGGCTCCCCTGAGCACTCGCATGGCTCTGCCGGGCTCTCTCGCCACGGTGGCGCCGCGTGCCCGCTCGTGGGCGCCTCGTGAGCGCCCCCGGGCGCTGGGCGGGCTCCCCGAAGACTGGCCTCGTTGGCGCCCGAGCTCGGTCTCGAGTACTCCAGATTTCGTAGTAAAGGGAGGGGGGTCTCATTTGGGGGGGGGTCTCTTCCAGGCTATCTTGGAGGGCCTGGGGGGGTCTGGTGACGATGTTTTGGAGGGTTCTCCCACGGGGGAGGTCTGAAATGGCTTGTCTTGGAGGGTCCAGACCCCCTCCCTTTTATTACGAAATCTGGAGTAACCGATCCCCGTCCCCGTCCCCCCCCCCCCTCCCCGTCGAGACCCCCACCACATGGCCACCCCAGTTGGGGACGCACCCCTCGAAGCCCGCAGGGCACGACCTCCATCCCCATCTCAGAGGGGGGTCGTTCGGCCGCCAGGGCCCGGGCCACGCCGCTGGGGAGGGGGATCGGTGGAACGATGCTCGCGATCCCGCTCGTGGGCCCCTTCGTGGGAGCCCCGTGCGCGGGGAGGGCTTCCAGGGAGTTCGCCGCGCTGGCGCCCCAGCCCGCCCGTGGGCGCCTCGTCGGCGCCCCGTGCGCTGGGCTGGTTCCCCAAGCCTCTCCTCCTCCTCGCTCCTCCTCTCTCCTCCTCCTCCTCCTCCTCCTCCTCCTCCTCCTCCTCCTGCTCCTCCTCCTGCCTCCCGCCGTAGCCATTTGGGCTCAAGGTTATCGACTCACATCTTCTGAACCACGCCCGCTATCAGACTCATTGCAGCTCCGGCGATGTTCAAGAAGCTCGCCGCCCCCGTCTTGGTGATTGTGTTGGCTGCCGCGCAGGCGGTGGTTCAGCATGCTTCGGGGCAGGCGTCCGCAAATCCAGTCCGCAAAGTGATCAACTTGCTACAGTCAATGCAGAAAAAGGTTACCAAGGAAGGCGAAGAAGAGGAGGCGCTGTACAAGAAGTTCGTTTGTTATTGCCGCACTGGGAAGGGGGACCTGGAGACCAGCATCCAGTCCGCCAACACGAAGTCTCCACAGTTGGCTTCCGACATCACGTCCTCCGAGGAGCAGCTTGCCCAGCTGAAGGCGGACCTGAAGCAGGCCCAGGTGGACCGCGCGGATGCAAAGACGGCCATGGCTGACGCCTCGGCCATCCGGGAGAAGGAAGCAGCAGCCTTCGCATCCGAATCGGCAGACCTGTCTGCCAACATCGACGCTGTGAAGAAAGCGGTGGCGGCACTCGAGAAGGGCATGACTGGTGGATTCCTCCAGACTGGCGGCGCCCAAGCCCTCAAGAGGGCCGTGCTCAGGCAGCAGGAGATGTCCGATGAGGACCGCGACGAGCTCCTCTCCTTCCTGTCTGGCAAGCAGAGCTCCGACTATGCGCCCAGCAGCGGAGAGATCACAGGCCTGCTAAAGCAACTGGGCGACGAGATGGCTAAGAGCCTGGCCGATGCGACCAGCGACGAGAACGCAGCAGCCAAGACCTACGAGGAGCTCATGTCCGCCAAGAAGAAGGAGGTTGACGCCCTCACGGCGCAGATCGAGTCGAAGACCCAGCGGTCCGGGGAGCTCGGCGTCTCGATCGTGGAGCTGAAGAACGACCTCTCGGACACCGAGGCGCAGCTGCTGGAGGACCAGGCAGTGCTGAAGGAGCTGGAGCAGGGCTGCGCCACCAAGGACGCGGAGTGGGAGGCGCGGAGCAAGACCCGCCAGGATGAGCTCGTCGCGATCGCTGAGACCATTAAGATTCTCAATGATGACGATGCCCTCGAGCTGTTCAAGAAGACTCTTCCGCCTCCGAGTGCCGCGCTCGTGCAGGTGGAGCGCAGGTCCGCTGCTGTGCGCGCTCGCGCCCTGGATCTCCTTCGGAAGGCGGCCCGTCCCAAGAGCCGTGCGGACCTGGACGTCATCATGCTGGCGCTGAGCGGCAAGAAGATCGGCTTCGCGAAAGTGATTGCGATGATTGACGGTATGGTCGCGACTCTGAAGCGCGAGCAGGTCGACGATGACAGCAAGAAGGAGTATTGCGGCAAGCAGTTCGATGACGCTGACGATAAGAAGAAAGGGTTGGAGCGGGACATCTCCGACGCTGAAACCGCCATCGCCAACGCCCAGGAAGGCATCGCGGCTGCCCAGGAGGACATCAAGAAATTGGGGGATGCCATCAAGGACCTGGATAAGATGGTCGCTGCTGCGACAGCACTGCGAAAAGAGGAGCACGACGAGTTCAAGGCGCTGATCGCTTCTAACTCTGCCGCGAAGGAGCTCCTGGGCTTCGCTAAAAACAGGCTGAACAAATTCTATAACCCGAAGATGTACAAACCGCCAGCGAAGGTGGAGCTGTCGACCATGGACCGGACTGCAGAGAGCATGGGCGTGACTTTGGCGCAGGTCTCATCCCACCAGCAGCGGAACAGCGCCGTGGAACCACCACCTGCGACATGGGATGCGTACGCAAAGAAATCGGGCGAGAATACCGGCGTCCTGGCCATGATCGACCTATTGATCAAGGATTTGGACAAGGAAATTACCGAGGCAGAGACGGACGAGAAGAACAGCCAGAAGGATTACGAGGCTCTCATGTCAGACTCAGCTGCCAAACGCACCGAGGATTCCAAAGGCCTCACCGAGAAGGGCGCCTTGAAGGCGGACCTAGAGGCAGCCTTGGAGAAGCACACCGAGGCCGAAAAGATGGGCACCAGGGATCTGATGATGACCGAAAAGTACATCTCAGAGTTGCATGCGGAGTGTGATTGGTTGCTGAAGTACTTTGAGGCCCGCCACGAGGCCCGCGCCGAGGAGATCGACTCGCTGGGGAAGGCGAAGGCGGTGCTCAGCGGGGCGGACTTCTCGCTGCTGTAGGTGGCCCGCGGTGCTCCGCACGCCAAGCTCGCGCCTGTCTCGCCTCGTGTCGTGGTGTGTGCCCCTCCTCCCTCCTCCCCCTTCCTCCTTCTCACTCCTCCTCTTTCTCCTCCTCCTCCTCCTCCTCCTCCTCCTCCCTCCTCCCCCTCCTCCACTCCTCCTCTTTCTCCCTCATTCTTCCTCCTCTTCCTTCCTCTCCTCCTCTCCTCCTCCTCCTCCTCCTCCTCCTCCTCCTCCTCCCTCCTCCTCCTCCTCCTCCTCCTCCTCCTCCTCCTCCTCCTCCTCCCTCCCCCCTCCTCTCTCCTCCTCTCCCCTCCTCCTCCTCAGGTGTCGCCTCGCTGGCGCCCGTGCTCGCTCGCGGGCGCTCCTGTGCGCCCCGTGTCCCTGCATCGCACAGCGCTTGCACGGCAGACCGTGCGCCGCGTGGCCGAGGCCGCGCAGCCCGCCGCTCGCGGCCCACGGCGCACAGCTCACGCCGCGCAGCTCACGCACAGATACGCCTCCTCCCTCTCCTCCTCCCCTATCCTCCCCTATACAATTACACAATATGAAAATACTCTCCCACTTCCCCTGATGGCGTCCCGAAGATATCCGACACCCCCCCGCGTACTGTTTTTTACACAGGATTCCCGGGAAACGGGTTTTCGCTTGCGTTTTTTCAAAATGCTGCTCTCGCTGAGGCGCCGGCCTCATTTCTGCTCCCGAATCGTTCCGAATCGTGCTCCCGCTGCAGCGTGGGCCTCATTTTCCGATCGGTGTTTGGCCTCCGTCGTTCAGGATGGCGTTCTCGCCCCAGCGCGGGCCTCTTTCTCGCGCGCCCATCCGCCCGCCACCACCGCGCCGCACCACCCACCACCACCACCACCACCACCACCACCACCACCACCACCACACCACCAGCACCACCACCACACCACCACCACGACCACACCACACCAGCACACACCACACCACACCACACCAGCACCACACCACACCACACACACCACCACAACCACGCACACACGCACGCACGCACGCACGCACGTGCACCACCACCCACTACGCACGCGCGCGCGGAGCCACAGGTCCGCTACGACACGCGTCCGCGGATAGAGAAAATCAGCGCCATGGTAAGGGATGGGAGGGAGGGGTAGGACGTCAGATATGACGCGAGCGCACCTAGCTTGCCTCCTCCCCCTCCTCCTGCCCCTATCCTCCCCTATCCTCCTCCCCTCCTCCTCATCCTCCTCCTCCTCCCCTATCCTCCTCTTCCTCCTCCTCCTCCGCTTCCTCCTCCTCCTCCTCCTCCTCCTCCTCCTCCCCTATCCTCTTTCTCCTCCTCCTCCTCCTCCTCCTCCTACGCTTCCTCCTCCTCCTCCACCTCCTCCTCGTCCTCCTCCTCCACACGGAGTTCACGCCGCGCAGCTCACACGACACAGCTTGCGCCACGTATCTTGAGCAGCTCGGCTTTCCACAGCACAGCTCACCCCTCACACATGGCAAAACATCGCTCATGCCGTATAGCTCACGCCACGTAGCCGCCACGTAGCCCACACAGCATAGCTTGCACCACATAGCTTGCGCACGATTGCTCACATTGTATAGCAGCTCACGCCACACTGCATACACATTATATATTACACCACGTAAGATA